TGGTATGTTTTCTGGTGGCCACTATTCCTTCCTCTGTCTCCTCCTCTATTCCATAGTGCACCCTCTGGTTCTGGTCCTGTGTTCTTATTTACCTGTTTCTGTCTGCAGCCATTGGTCTGGCTAGGTCCCAAGATAGTCTTCTGAATAGAATAGTAACGAGGCAAGAAGTGTCTAGGCTGTGAGAGAAAATGGCCTCAGATTTGAAGCTTTAGGATCCGTGCTTCACAGCTGTTTGTTTCCCTACAGGCTTCATCTGGCCTTTTTCAATACCTGTGAATTTCCTGCCGCTGCCCCTACCCTCCCCACCTTCCTGGTCTTTGCCTTGTGTTCTGTTATGAGTGTCTTGCTGATTTCTCTCACTCTCTCTTTGGTTTATATTCCACTGTTTCTTCTGACTTTTAAAAAACTTTTTACTTTGAAACAATTATAGATTCATAGGAAGTAGCAAAAAAAAAAAAAAAACCCAAAAACCTAACAAACAAAACGTGCAGAGGTCCCAGGTATAGCTTTCAATTCGTTTTTCCTAATGATTACATCTCCCATAACTATAGTACAATATTCATACCAGGAAGTTGACATTGGTACAATCCACCGGGTGTATTCAGGTTTCAACAGCTTTAGATGCACCCGTGTGTGTGTGTATGTGTATGTGTGTGTACATGTGTGTTCTGAGTTTTAAAGAGGAAACATCTGCCTGACTTTGGAATGGCTCAGAGTCAGATTCAGTAAACATTCATTAAGTATATGTATGAGACATTGACAGCTAATTCACATGAGCTCGTTCAGTTGATCTTCACATCAACCCTTTTAAGAAGCGATTGTGTTATTTATTTTACCTGTGAGGAATTCAAGCAAACTCCACAGAAATCCTGTGATATTCCCAAGGTCATCTAAGTAACAACCTGATTCCAAGGCCAGGGCTCAACGATGCTGCTTGCCTGGTCCTTCAGCCTCTGTGTAGACCATGGCCTTTCTTTTCATGCACTTTATTCAAGTCATAGCCTGTCTTGGACCTTAGCTTTGCAGGGGCCTCCTACTTTCCCACCTCCCTGGCTACTGATCCATAGCCTAGACTCACTTCAGGACAGAATAAAACTCAGGTCTTTTAACTCCTGGTGAAATTTCTCCACACTGATTCTTGTCAGAGTGGGGGAGGATGTTTTCCCCTTCATAATAATAAGTACCACTGACTGAGGACCTACTATGTGTCATGAGTTGTGCTAGCCTTCTTGCCTCATGTTCACTCTGAGAAGTCCTATGAGATAACTATTATTATTATCCCCATTTTACAGTTGAGGACACAGGCTCAGAGAGCATAAGTGACTTAGCATCAGGCACAGAATTATCAGGTGGCAAAACCGGGACTGGAACTTGTGGCTGTCTGACTCCAGACCTGTATTTGGGACCTATACTTCTTGCTTTGAAAGTGTCAACTGAAAAAATACACAATGTGAGGGTTGTGAGTGAAGTTTTATTGGGGGCAAAATGAGGACTCTAGCCTGGGAGATAGCATTTCAGAGGGCTCTGAGAAACTGCTCCAAAGAGGCAGTGGGGGAGGTCAGTGTTACATACGATTTTAGTGAACGGGGTACGTGCAGTCAAGCACACATTTTGGCAGAGGCTGGCTGCTAGTCACGAGGAGCAGATGTCACCGTTAATGATTTTAGTGCTTTTGTAGACATGAGGAGAGGCAAGAATTGGGCTCATAAAATCTCCTGAATATATCTAACTATATGAAGACCTCTTCTGCCAGTTTTTCCCAGAGCACAGAGTGCCTCATTCCTGATCTCCACCATAAACTCTTTTTAGGGAGTGTTGAAGGTCAGCAGCTGCAGTGACTCATGATTTAATTCTTGCAGAGGTAGATGGCATGTGCCAATTTGTAGTTGGCAAAAGAAACAAATAATTAACTCATTTTCCTCTAGACATAAAAACAAAACAGAAAAGTTCAAATTGTGTGATATAGAGATAAAAGTTAGAGATTAACCCTATCAAATTACCAATGGAATTTTTCACAGAACTAGAACAAGAAATTTTACAATTTGTATGGAAACACAAAAGACCCCGAATAGCCAAAGCAATCTTAAGAAAGAAAAACGGAGCTGGGGGAATCTGGCTCCCTGACTTCAGACTATACTACGAAGCTACAGCAATCAAGACAGTACGCTACTGGCACAAAAACAGAAATATAGATCAATGGAACAAGATAGAAAGCCCAGAGATTAAACCCACGCACATATGGTCACCTTATCTTTGAAAAAGGCAAGAATATACAGTGGAGAAAAGACAGCCTCTTCAATAAGTGGTGCTGGAAAAAATGGACAACTGCATGTAAAAGAATGATATTAGAACACACCCTAATACCATACACAAAAATAAACTCAAAATGGATTAAAGACCTAAATGTAAGGCCAGACACTGTCAAACTCTTAGAGGAAAACATAGGCAGAATACTCTATGACATAAATCACAGCAAGATCCTTTTTGACCCACCTCCTAGAGTTAGGGAAATAAAAACAAAAATAAATAAATGAGACCTAATGAAACTTAAAAGCTTTTGCAAAGCAAGGGAAATCATAAACAAAATGAAAAGACAACCCTCAGAATGGGAGAAAATATTTGCAAACGAAGCAACTGACAAAGGATTAATCTCCAAAATATACAAACAGCTCATGCAGCTCAGTATCACAAAAGCAAACAACCCAATCCAAAAATGGGCAGAAGACCTAAATAGACATTTCTCCAAAGAAGACATACAGATGGCCAACAAATACATAAAAAGCTGCTCAACATTGGAGTAGCTTTTGGAGTAATCCAAAACTGTAATCCAATGTATGCTCCAATCCAGCATCATTGGAGTAATGCAAATCAAAACCACAATGAGGGATCACCTCATACCAGTCAGAATGGCCATCATTAAAAAGTCTACAAACAAATCCTGGAGAGGGTGTGGAGAAAAGGGAACCCTTCTGCACTGTTGGTGGGAATGTAAATTGATACAGCCACTATGGAGAACACTATGGAGGTTCCTTAAAAAATTAAAAATAGAACTACCATATGACCCAACAATCCCACTACTGGGCATATACCCTGAGAAAACCATAATTCAAAAAGGTTCATGTACCACAATGTTCATTGCAGCACTATTTATAATAGCCAGGACATGGAAGCAACCTAAATGTCCATCAACAGATGCATGGATAAAGAAGATGTGGCACATATATACAATGAAATATTACTCGGCCATAAAAAGGAACAAAATTGAGTTATTTGTAGTGAGGTGGATGGACCTAGAATCTGTCATACAGAGTGAAGTAAGTCAGAAAGAAAAACAAATACTGTATGCTAATGCATATATATGGAATTTTAACAAGCGGTACTGATGAACCTAGTTGCAGGGCAAGAATAAAGATGCAGATGTAGAGAATGGACTTGAGGGCACGGGGCGGGGGAAGGGGAAGCTGGGATGAAGTGAGAGAGTAGCATTGACATATATACACTACCAAACGTAAAATAGATAGGTAGTAGGAAGCTGCTGCATAGCATAGGGAGATCAGCTCGGTGCTTTGTGACCATCTAGAGGGATGGGATAGGGAGGATGGGAGGGAGGCTCAGGAGGAAGGGGATATGGGGGTATATGTATACATATAGCTGATTCACTTTGTTGTACAATAGGAACTAACAACATTGTAAAGCATTTATACTCCAATAAAGATGTGAAAAAAACCTAGAGATTAAAATTAATTCATGTAGTATATTAAAATTTTGAATTATTTCCTAATAATTAAAAATTGGGAGATTTCACATAAAAATCTGGATTTCTAGATTTTCATGGTAGACCAACACAACTGGCAATGGATTCTCGGCACAGCCCTGAGTCTATGCCTTCTGGGCTGCCATTGTTCCCTGACAGCCCCTTTTCCCTGCCCTTCCAACCCTGCAGGCTTGTGAATCGGTGGTGGTTCCTCAGATAGAGCATCAAGGGAATGGGACAAAGTTGTGGCTTTAAATCACGATTCCAATAGTACCTGTGCACCTATGGCAGTCTTGAAGCATCATCATGGGTCCTTTGCCATTTCATTTCATGTTTACCTTCCCTCCTGTTGAATTTGCATGAGTTTATGACTGCTTTGGCCAATAGAATCTGGGAGAAGTGACTATGTGACTTTCAAAGTTAGGTTATAAAGGTCATGCAGTTTCTTCTTGTTCGCTGGAACACCCTCTTTTGGAACTAACCTAGGACCATCATGCTGGAGAGGCCATGTGTAGGCATTCTGGTCAGAAGTCCCCTTGATCTTGGTAATCATTCCACAATGTATATGTGTGTCAAATCATCACGTTGTACGCTTTAAATCTAAACAACGATATTTGTCAATTGTATCTCAATAAAATTAAAAAGAAAAAAAGTCCCAGCTGAGTCCAGCCTACCAGCTATCCCTGACAAAGCACCAGACATGAGTGAAGCCATCTTCAGTCCTCCAAACCAGCCCATCTGCCAGGTGAATACTACTGAGAGATTTCAGGGCTACTTGGAAGAGTCATACAGCTGAGCCCTGCTCAGATACTTCACTGCAGAATCATGAGATACAATAAATTGTTACTATTGTAAGCTATGGGGTAGTGGGGGGTTTTGGCAGTCAATTAGACAAAAGATTTAAAGCTCTGTGCCTTAGTTTGATCAGGTATAAAATAGAATTCAGAAAATATGTCTTGTCCTTTTCATACAGATGAAAATAGGAGCAATTTAAAGAATGGATTTAGCAACACATTGGAAAATACCAAGTACTATTCAAATAATGTTATTATGATTATAAAAGACTGATGGCTTTGTGACCATCTTTACCACTTCACCAAGCCTCAGTTTCTTTATCTTTAAAATAGAGATATTAATAGCTATCACTGGCTGTGATTAAGTACTTAGCACAGCACAAAGCACGTAAGTAGTTCCTTTTCCTTTACTTCTTTTTAGAGCCTTCTAATTATTGTTTCTTCTTTGTAAGGTGTTTCAAGTTTGACTCTCCTTGGACTCATGTACCTAAACTCCAATCTCTCCCTTTTCCACATCAAAACTGAGCAATCCTGAGTGAGCTTCAATTACTCAAGATCCTTCTAAAAGGTATGGTGGGGGAGGGGAGAATGGCATGCCCATTCTTTCAGAAGCAGCATATTGCAATGAAATGAGCACAAATCTTGAAATCAAGAATTTGGTACCTGTAGGATTTCATGATGCCTCTCACATCTAGGCAACTTCAAATCAAGACAGCATATTAGAACACTTCACGAAAAGAGATGCAATGGCATGGTAAGGGAAATGGGACAGTTTACTGTCTGTGGTTCTAAATCAAATTAACTCATCCAGCTCAGGAGAAGAATACTTCCTTGATCTATTCAATATATAGCTTTTGATGTGTATTCCAAAGGATCTGATGCCAGATGTTTCAGATTTGCTGGTTGTGGTATGGTTATTTGGTACTTTTCTCTAAGGTGCTCAGCAATTTCGAGGCGGGTAATTTGTTTCATTCCCTATGCAATTAGTTTGGAAAACTAATATTCAGTATTTATATCTATATCTGATATGCCCAAGGAGTTTGCCATTTCTTTACTTTCTATAGCCTAAGAGGGAGAAGCCTTCAAGTGATACAGATGTTGTGATAAAGACAGACTTGGTGGGGAACTTAGAAGGCACAACCTCTTTTTCCAAGATTAGATTGTTGATGGTCTGGGCCTCTTCTATTTACTTTCCCAGAGCCTGGGGTAGACCAAGGACGTGAAGATCATACAGGATAAGTGTGCCATGCAGTTTTCGGGCAGATTGTTGTGCAGTTAAACACTTGCTATAGGAGTCCATGCGTTACTGACCCTCCCAAGTTGGGCCCCAACAAGGGTCCTCCTGCTGGGTGTGGCTCATGCCAATAGAACGAGACCGAGTTTGGTTCAGAAGAAAAGGATGATCAAAGAATGGAGAGGTGAGAGCTTGCACTGGAGAATTGTTAATGGGCTTTGCTTGGTGACACCTGAAGTTGGTCTCAGTGTGTGTGGATCAGACTTATGTCATGAAGCAAGATGCAAAAAGCACTTTGTTAGTAAAGCCTGTGAATGTAGTATATATTTTTTGTTTGCTCAGCTTGAAATGCTTTTCCCTACATCCACATCCACATAAACCTAGTCACTCTCATCCATATTTTAAGACATTCTTCTTGCTCTGGAAAAACCTTACTTGAGTCATCTGAGCAAAATTATTCACTCTACTTGTTGTAGCCCTACTTTTTGTAGTACTTACTTTGATTGCAGGATAGCATTTGTTTCCATACATTGGTCTTCCTGACTAGACTGTGAGCTCTTTCTAGATAAATGCCATGCCTGTTTCTTCTATGATAACTCACTACACAGCACGGGGATTGATTTTGAGAAAATACCTAGTAAATAATTGGATAATTATTTACAAGGCTTTGGAAACAAAATAAAAGCAGAAAAGACTTAAAGGATTTTGGAGAAGAGAAAGGGAACTTGTACAATATTTATTGAATGCCTAATATATGTCATTTAACGTAGAATAACTTATTTGTTCCTCAAAGCACCCTTTAGAAAAAAAAGTATTATTGTCCTCATTTGACAGAGCAGGAACTGAAGCTCAGAAAGTGTAATAAATATATCAAAGTCACACAGCCAAGATTTGGTTAATTCAGAATTTGACTTGAAATCTGTGTGATTCCAAAACCCTAAGTCTTTTATACTATCTTTTCTACTTCTCAGTGAGGTTAGAACTCATAGTGTATGTTCCTAGTGAACAGGATTTCTGGAAGTCTGATTTATTTTACTCCATTTTGTCAGAAGAGAAGGCTTAGCCACTTCCCAAACATCAGGCCTGTCTCCACCTAGTGACTTCCTGACTTCGCGGCTACTTCTACGATCCAATATTCTCAGACGGTGAAGAGACCAAGAACTTGATTAGGCTTTGGTTAGCAGTAGGTGAAAGGACTGTGCTTATATCACATAATTTTTAAAGCTTTATTGAGGTATATTCAATATACAAAAAACACACACATATTTGAAGTGTATAATTTGGTAAATAGGCATGAAAACATAGTTCCCTTGTACCTCTGTGTAGAATGGCCAGTAATGTTAAATAGAAGTGGTCCAAAGTAGTCCCTTGATTTGCTCCTCATCTTAGGGGAAAGCATTCAGTCTTCTACTATTAAGTATGATGTTTGCTTCACAGTTTTTGTAGATGTGGTTCATTAGATTGTGGTTGTTCCTTTCGATGCCTTGAGTGCCGAGAGGGTTTTTGTTTGATTTTGTCTTTTTTTTTCTAGCCAGAATTGGATGTTGGATATCATCAGAGGATTTTTCTGAATCTACTGAGATGATTATATGTTTTTCTTGTTAATCTGTTAACCTAATGGTAAATTACCCTCAAGATTCTTTATAACTTTTAGATTCCATGTATCTATGATTATAGGGTATTTAAATACTTGGATATATCTTATCAAAATTCTAGTATTGTTTTGGACATCATAAGTCTAAAGGCTAATAACTAAAGATGATATAAATATATATCTTAGGTAGTGTAGCAAATTTATACTTATTAGACTTGTAGCTGGAATTCTTTTCATCACATGGGCTTTGATATTTATTAACTTTTTCTTACCTAAAATAAAATTATTCCTGACTATACAATCCTGTAGGTTTTGATACTCAGAGTCATGCAACTACTCCTAAAATCATGACACAGATTCATCTCTCTCTCTCTATGCCAAAATTCCCTTATGTAGTTTCTTTCTAGGTAAGCCCAGCACCCCCGTCCGAACCTTGAAAACCATTGATTTGTTCTCAATATTTATAGTCTCACCTTTTCCTGAATGTTGTATGCATGGATTCACACAGTATGCAGTCTTTGGGGAGGGCCTTCTTTTGTCCAGTAAAATGCATTTATGATTTGTTGATGATGTTTTGCATATCCATAGCTTGAGAGCACATTTTCTTGCCAGCTTCCTGTACGGAAATGATTATAAGCTGTTGGGAATGTGGTATATTTATTAAAAGAAAATGGAATCATATACATAAGTGGTGAAGTGGGGAGGCTATGATTTGGTTCATTGTAGTATAAAAGTCACATTTTTCAATATACAAAAAACAAAACAAAGAAAAACTGTGAACTATGGGCCAGCAGGTGACAATATCCTTCAAGCGCACAAACAGGAGGGACCTTGTAGGAGGTCCAAGTCCCTGCCATAGTCATTCTCTGTCTATTTTGCGTATTTAGTAGTTATTCATTAAATTCTTGCTTGATGAATTAGGCTGGATTAGATAGCACTGTTGTATGTGTAGCCTATATGGTATTGATAGTGTGAAACAGTTAAATAAAGATGGGATAGGTGGGGTAAGGTTTAGTGAATGGAGTTAAACTTTTCTTCCTAATGAGGCATACATTTTCAGCTCAGGCCCCCATTGGTCAGATCCTCTGACAGAATAGGCAGTGTGAGACAAGAACAGCATGAGGCCCAGAAGAGTTTCAGCAATGATAGGAAAAATGACAGATACGGTAGATCTCATTTGGTTAGCCATTTCACTCTAAAGGTTTTCTCTAACCCTTTGGGGAAGTTGAATAGGACATAAATATCAGGTTGCCATTGTGTAGTATATACAATCCAATGCAAAGTGTGCTTTTGTTAATTGTATTACAAACTGAATATTCTTAGTGTGTGAAGGAGATTCCACTCTCAACTGATGCTCTGGATGTCTCTGTAAGGTCTTGCATAAAAAGAAACTCTCTAGATATTCTGAAGACTGGCAGGTGCATCTCAGGAGAAGCCCTCCCAATCCCAGTACAAGTCATATCTGACCCGTAGCTAGGAAACCTTCAGGTCAGGGTCGCTGGTATTGGTGGGGAGCAGTGAGCTCTGGGGTGGGTTGGGAGACTGACACTGACACTTTGTAGGACATCTGGGAAAGTAAAGTTCCCTCCCCTTAGACAGCAGGGAGCAAATTACTAGGCAAAAGAAGCCCAAACTTACAACAAAAGCTGTCAGGCACTCATTCACAGCAAATGTCAGACTCCAGACACCAACTGCTAATGTGTTAAAAAGCACTGATTAGGAATTATTGAAGCTGCCTATAAACTTTCAATTACCATTATTTAAGAAAGTCTGAAATGAGATGATTCTAATTCCACCAGCATTTTATGTTTTTCTTAGAGGTTTCAAATCTGTGAATGTCAGCATTTACAAAATTTAGTTGAGAGATATAATTATAATAAATGCATTATAAAAGAAGGAAACAGGATTGAATACATATAAGCATCAACTTTAGATCATATGTACAGCATTAATTTTGGAATTGGTTTGTATGATGTACATAAAAAATAATATATATATATATTATAAGTTTATATATATATATAAGTTTATATATAATATATAAGTTTCATGAGGGTAGAATTTTAATTCTATTTTGTTAATTGATATACACTAAGCCCCCAGAACAGTTTCATGCATCCAGTAAGTTCTCAAAAAATGTTGAATTGAAGTAGAGACGAGAAAGTAAAATAAAAATAAAAATTTGCAAACCAGAAGGCCTGTATAGTTGCTATGATTGGGCAAGAAATTTGACTCTAAATTTCCTAGAAACTAAAGTGAATATGAAATCATACTTGGTTGCATAGCTTATATTGTAAAAAGGATGCCAAATCCATTAAGGGGAAATTAAGTTCTTCTAGGGCTAAACTTTCTAAGAACTTCCCAATATAGAGATTCATAAGAATCAGCAGTGAGTTTTGGGGGTTATTTTTCATAGCAATTGTCAGTGAAAGTTGAGAGCATAAAGCTAAACTTCAACATATCAGAGATAATCATGAATGGGTGGTAAAAAAAAAAATGAATAAACAGAAACTTCAATTCAATAGAGTTGGGAGACCAGAAGGGGGGCTCTCATGCCCTGTGACAATAGGCCGAGCCCAACAGGAAAATGAAGGGCTTCCTCTTCCTTGCTGGCAAGAGCTCCCAGTGAGAGACTGTCAGAACTCAGCCAATGAAAAGCTGTGGGCTCTTTGTTTACTACAACCCTCCCAACTTCCTTTTCCCCTCTGTGAAACAGTTCTTCTCTCCATCTTTGCTGGAG